AACAATAATAATAAATAACAAATAATAACAACAATAATAATAAATAATAATAATAAATAACACATAACAACAACAATAACAAATAATAAAAAACTAAAGTAAACCCGACCTTCCTCGTCTTCATTCTAACGAAGTCATCGATCGGTAAACGCGCATGTGCCACACCCATTTCATTCGCCTCGTTCAGGCAATACCCCTTTAATGAGTTATGATCCAACAGACCGCCTATTACATACCTGACATTTCATTATTATTATTATTATTACAAATATAATAATAAATACAATAATAATAATAACAAATAACACTCACACTCTCGAGCTATCCAAATTCTCGAGAATATTCTCTGAATCCGCAGTCAAATAAACGATATCATCCTTTTTGAACACCTCGCAGAGTGATTTCGTTTCGAAGTGAATATCCCAATTGGAATAGGTCGGGTTCGAGTTGAACATCTTAATTAATTATAATTATAATTAATAATAATAATAATAATGACAATAACAATAATAACAAATAACAATAACAATAAATAATAATAATAATAAATAAATAATAACAATAAATAAGAGCACTCACCCCCCTGGTCACCCCCCCAAAACTCAAAAAATACAGCTGTGACGGGTTCCGTACCCGTCGGTTCGCTGCGTAACAGAACGACAACTGTGTTATGATACTCTTGATTTGCCTTTCGTTCATCTTCGACTCATAACACAAATCAATCGCGATACGCTGCTCACACGTCGACTCGCTCATCAACCTATTATTTTTATTAACATTATTTATTACATTTATTATTATTATTTATTATTATTATTATCATTATTATTATTATATCAACAAAAACAACAAATAATTAAAAGTCCAACGTAATAGGCCCCCTCCTCGGCGCCAGATCACCCCCCGTTTTTCGTATTTCGTCTCGTTTCGCCTTTTTTCGTGCTTTCTCCAAAATCCTTTTTTCTTGTCGCTTCTCCAAATACCGTTGTCTTTTCAGTTCCCTGAAACTGCGCCATTAAATATATGAATAAATTTATTATTATTGTTGTTATTATTATTACTATTATTATTATTACTATTACTAACATTATAATCACAGTATTAACTATCATATTATTATCGTTATAATAACCTTTAATACCAACCCCCCCCTCTCCACTTCTTACTAACGAAATCCTCCCACCAACTTTTTTTGTTGTTTCTTTGATAACGGCAGAATTCCTCGCATTCCCTTTGAGATTTGTGCATTTTGTTCCGCAACATCACGGTTTTGCGCTGTCGATTGATCGTTTTCGGTCGAGTTTTGTGCTGCCGAATTCTCGCGCGCACTCGCGCTCGAACGGCACTCGCGAGTTCGATCCCCCTCCGAGCCTTCGTTTTGCCGTTTTCGTTCAGTTGCCGTCACCTCAACGCCATTCGATGCGTTTTTGCATTCTTGCATCACTCTGAGTGCCACATTAATTATTTTTGTTATCTCCAGAAACATCTTCCATTCATTCGCTTGGATTTCTTCACCGAAAAATGAGCCGCCTAAGCCAAGGCGTGCGCCTACGTAGGTCAGTCTTGAACCTAGACCTCAGCTTAAGTCCAAACCTATCCATCAGCCCTAACCTAAGCCTGAGCTAACGATATGATGATGTTTGAGCCTCAGCCCGAGCCCTATCCCACTCGAAACCACTCAAACAAACCTTTGACTGTTGCTAGACCCAGCCGTATAAAGCTTGCGCACGTCCTTCAAAATCACCTAGTATTTTACCAATAACTATACTGCAAACCTCGAAAAATTTCCCGGTTAATGTAATCATCCTCTAATATACTGCATACAAATAACCCTCAATATACATACGCACAACTTAAAAATTACACAAATACCACAAAAACTAAAAAATTTATTAAAACATCGAAAATAATTCAATGCACACAAATATTATACTACCCAAAATAAAAGGGTAAAACTATCGCCTCATCAATTCGGTAATACATCCAAATCAAAAACTATTTATCATCATCATAATACTAAATCACACCTATAATTACACTCTCAATTAAAATAATAATATAATACAAAAGATAATATAATAATAA